ATCTATAAGCATTAAAAAATTTGTCTATAAATTTTGCTATAATTTCTATATTTTTAGTTGTGATACTCTCCATCCTTTTTCATTTATCAGCCATTTTCCTGTTTTCGTGTGAATTAAAGAAATATTGCACTAAACCCTAAATCTTAAACAAAAATATTCTTAATTTTTATTTGCATGAGCTTAAGTTTAATTTGATGAAGAGTTTTGATCCTTTCAAGTTAATTAAATTTGGGCGAATGTTAACTACTAATTTAATAGTTAAAAATTTTTAATTTAAAAATATTATAAATTATCTTATTTATTTCAAATTGATTCACGTTTAAGGTTTTTACATATAAGAATTACGAAAAATAATAAATATCTTAATTAGTGTAAAATTTGCTAAATTATCTTTAGTATTTATTATCCTTATTTGTTGAAAAATTAACTTACAAAAATAAAAAAAAAATGTTACATTTGTTATTTATTTGAGATAAAATTGTAATATAAACTATTTTATCAAAATCTTAAAACATCACATAATATAATTTTTATTAAAAAAGCACTTAATTTAAAATTTAAAAAAGTACGATAGAATTTCATTAAAATTTTAAAATCTGTTGATAATTTTTTTTTCTAAAACTTTTTCTACTGGAGTAGTATGGGCTACCTTCCAAAAGCCTCTCCCCTTATAGTTATCTCTGACATTGCTTTTAAACTTAGATATTGTCAACTAGTATATTAATTCTTTTGTTACTTTCTACCTGTTATTTTGAAGTTTTGCACAAGAATTAAAATAAATAGACTTAATATTTTTGTTTTTATTAATATACCATCTGAATTTCTTATTATACTCTTTTATATTCTAATTAATTTTTTTATCTTAAGTTAAAGGTATATTTGATAAAATTTAATTTTAATATTATCTTAAATTTTAAAAATAACAGATAAACAAACAAAAATCCTTAAAAATCAATAGATAAAAAGAAATGGAGAAAATAATTATTGAAAAATGAATAAAAAATATTAAAAAAACATGTTTCAATTATATTAAATATGATGATAAGCACGTATCAATAGCATTTATTTTTAACTTTTAATATATTTTTAATTAGTTTTCATATGATTTTTTAACAGTGTTAATTAACTAAGACCCTAAAATATTTCGTTGTTAACTTTATAATTATTGTCCTTAAGATATAGTAGTAGTTAGCATTTATTTTTAAGTTTTAAATATGCTGTTGACTTATGGTGCACCCAATGCCTTTATTTCTCTCCTTTCCAAATATTATTAGACTTTTAAAAATAAACTAATGCACAACTGTATCGTTTGGAAAATCATATACAATTGTCTAAAATCATGATACAAAGAAAAAAGGATCTCATTAATTGATAACTTAACCATACTGATTAAGAAACTAATGAATAATAAAGTTTTTATGATATTTTTTTAGTTTGTTTATACATTTTAATAATTTTATTATGTTATTTTTATTGTCATTTTAAAAATTAAATAATTCTTTTAAAATTTTATCAATATTAATTCTGTGTGTTTGATTGAAAAGTATACCTTCTCCAACGTTTTTCGGAAGTGCATATTTAATGTGTATTGGAAAACTTAATTTGGAGCATTCTCTTGGACTAGTGAGATATGGCATTTCCCTAATTGTATATCTCATATTATTATTAATGATGTTATTTGAGTCTTTACCCTTAAAATTATAGTAACGTGATTCTGTTTTTTGGACTTAGACCCCTTCTTTTCTTATAACTTTAAGTTTTTTTTTATTATTATATTTTCTCTATTAATTTTGAAAGATAACATGAATATTGAGAAATATAATTAGTATCTTGTTAAAATTAAATTCTATTTAATTTAAATTTCTGAGATGAATTTTAATATTATTTTCTTTTTCATTATACATTTGTAAAATATATAAAAATAAAGGTATAGTTGAAATGAAAATTATTAATTTTGTTTAAATAAACAGATAGATAATTAAAGATATTTAACAGATAAGAAAAAAAGAAGAAAACTTTTACTGATTACCTAAATTTAAAATATTTTTCCAAACAAAATATGCAAATAAGTTTGTTAATTATATATATATATATATATAAGTTTGGAAAGAAAAAAAAAAGAAATGATGTATTTTTAATTTTAAAAAAAATTATATATAATTTATTATGATAATTACATAATTAATATATTATATTAATGTTTTTAATTTAAAAATTAATTTAAAATAGATTTATTTAAAATAAAAAAATATCTGAAACATCCTTCCTCAACATGCACCTTATTTCAAATCAATATATGCTTGATATTTTATAAAATAAATATTATCAAAACAATTGTGAGCTACAACATCATATCTATTACCAAATCACGTTGTCATTAAGCAAATATATCATCAAATAATATTTATTATCATTACCTAAGACCTATAACTTTCTTAGTTAGTGATGTGCAATTCAATATTACACGGTAGTACAAAGAAGTATAAAAATTACAATATTTGATGTTAAAAATAATCTTAATTTATCAAAGTATATAAATCTTGATAAAAATCTTATGATGTACAGATATATTACAAAAATGAAAAATTATACCAGTAAACTATCAAATTTAAATTCAATATAAAAGGTTTAGTAATAATAGATAAAATAACACTGCCTTATAATATAAATTTATGAAAGAATAATTTGTAGAAATATATTTTTTTATACTATAAGTATTTTTTATATAATCATATACGAACTAATTAATTTGTATTTTTAGTGATTATAATTATTTTAATATTATTTATTTTAAATTATATATAATTTTCATTCTTTAAATTTTTTAATTAATCAAATCTCTGTATTTTTAAAATACATAATTTTGATCTCTCCTTAATATAATTTTATCAAAATATTGAAAATAAGAAATTATTTTAATTCTAATATGTCAGTAGTGTAAAAGGTTTTACATTAATTTTAAATTATAAAATAACATGATAAAATTTTAATAATTCTATAAAATGTAATTAAGGATTGAAGTTTTTTTTTTTTAGAATTCATTTTTATTTAGGGTGAAAGTTAATATTTTAGCTGCTGAATTTTGAGTAAAAAGTAATTTAATTAATTTAATTTATAAAGTTTTAATTAAAAATAATAATAATTCAGAAATTTCATATAAAAAATAGAAAGACAAATAAAGATGTTAAATTTAAATTTTTAAATGCTTTTATTGAAATTTAAAAGGATTTGATTTAATTTAAATTAAAATGTTTATTATTAAAGATACAAAAATTTATCATTTCAAACTTTTAAACTCAATTATAAGAATTAAAATTAATAAAAATATATATTTTTAAACTGAAAATTGTAAATAACGTAAAAAAGAAATTCCATTCAATCTAAATTAAAGATAAAAAAAAATGAAATTAAAAATAATAATATTTTCTATGCTGCCCCAACTTTTGAGAGGAGAAGCAATACTCTCGTTATTTAGACCAATTATATATAGTCACGTTTTATTTAACTGCTCTTATATGTTTTAAATTATTTTTTTTTCAAAGAAGTACTTTAAGATTTAAATCATTAATTTAAAAATTAAATTCTTTTAATAATAAATTTGTGAAATTTAATTCAACTTAAATCTCAATTTTTTTAATAAGTTTTTATTAATGTTAATATGTTTGAAAGTCATTCAAAATTTTGAAAAAAGAATTTGCATGAGGTAGTCTTAATCCCGTGTTAAAAGTTTATTTAAATATAAAATTAATTTTTTTAATACAAATAGTAGGAACAATGCAACCCTTCTACATTCTTAAGATGCAGTATAAACTTTTAGATTTTGTTTGAGAGTTTGAAAGAAGAGAAAAGATTTGAAGAGAGAAAAAAGAAAAAAAAAGGAAAAGAAGAAAAAGGTTAAACTTTTTTCTTATTTAGATGTTTAATACTAAGATGGAAGAATGATATAGAATTTAATTATATAAATAATATTATTATATTTTTTATTTTTATAAAAAATAATAAATAAATATTTTTATTTATTTAAAAATTAATAAATTTAAAATTAATTTTTTTATTTTTTTTAAAAAATTTACTTGAAAAACAAATATTTTATAAAAAATTTAAAATTCAGAATAAGAGTGAGAGAGAGAACATCAAATTAAATATATATGATGTGCAGTACCTTAATTAATTATTATTAATAACTATTAAGTTATTTTTATTACATGAATTTTAACATAAAATGTAAATAATCTTATTTTATGTTAAAAATTGGTATTATTTTCTATAGTACTCACTTTTATATATGAAAAATATTAATCAATGTTTAATAATTACAATATTTTTAAAATATTTAATAATACACATCCATCATATTTTTTAAATAAAAAATTATTATTTAGAATATCGCTTAATAAAACATTTTTTATTGATGTGTTTAAAAAAATAAGCTAATAAATTATATATCTTGAAAAAATTGATAAAACTTTATGTAGCTTTAGAATTTTTAAAATATCTTATTTATAAAAAAGTAATTCTTAATAAATTTTATATTATAAGAAATAAATATTTATTTTTAAATGCATTATTTTTTTATTTTTTATAATATCATTTATTATTAAATTTTATTGATAAAGCATTTATCTATTGTTTATCTAAGTGAATATATTCATTATTTTATATGTAAATCAATAATTTAATCTTTTAATATTATAAATATTGATAAAATATAATAAAAATTTAGTCATGTAACTATTTCTTATAATTTTAATGAATGAATTATTTAATTTTTGAAAATAAGAGTGCAGTTATTATTGTTATTCAAAATTTCAAATTATGTTTATTAATGAAAGAAATGATGAATGTAAAATATCCTTGTAAAGTAAAGGAGTTAGGTATGTTTCATTTTCGTGTTCTTTCTTGAGAAATCTAGGACTTCAAGTCAATGGTTTTTAATCATATATTCAGTTTTGAGGTCACTTTCTGTGGGCAAACTACGAAACTCATTTTTACCTTTTCAGACGCAGAAAATGAAAAACGAGTCAAATCCAATTCCCCAAGTTGTTTCTTCCTTTGCATTGAAACACAATATCCGACCAAACCATCAAAACCGAACATCATAACATACGATGAAGAAGAACACAATCATCATGAGTTACTCCCCTGCCACTCCTAGATCCCCTCCAATGGATCCCACGATTTGGAGCAAATTACCACCCGAAATCCTCGAATACATACTCTCTTTTCTTCCTCTCAAAACCTTCCTGAGTCTCAGATCCACTTGCAAAGGTTTTTGGTCTCTCATATTCTCTCCCTCCTTCATTTCTAAACACTGTTCTTCTTCCTCCTCCTCCTCCTCTTCTTCTTCTTCTTCTTCACCCTTCTCCTCTTTTCTCTTACTTTCCCACCCTCAATTTCACCGCCATTTCCCTCTCTATGATTGCACCCATGGCACTTGGCGCAACATCTCTCTCTCACTCTCTGATTCACTTCACTCATCTCCTTCCTTCACTACTCTTGTCTCTTCTGGTGGTCTTTTTTGCTTATCTGATTCCACATCATGTTCTTTGCTCGTGTGCAACCTTTTAGCCAAATCTTCTCGAAAGATTCAATACCCAAGCTTCTCTCTTCACTTGGAACATCTTACTTTTGTTACCACCCCAACTGGGTATATCATTTTTGTTCTTTGTTCTGAGTCTGCTTCAAGCATTGCCTTTGTTTATGACTCAAATGTTCAATTTTGGAAAAGATTTGAAGGTTTTGGTCCAGTTTTAGGGGACAACCATCACCAACAAGGAGTTTTCTGTAATGGGGGGTTGTATTTTGCGACCACAGAACCTTTTTCAGTGGTGATCTTTGATTTGGAGAATGGAAAGTGGGAGAGACCCATTGGGGAGTTACCGAGCCAACTCACCTTTGTTCGATTGGTGAGTGATGGAGAGGGAAAGTTGTATTTGGTAGGTGGGGTTGGGAACAATGGAATATCAAGGAGCATTAAGTTGTGGGAAATGGGTGAAGATGGGAATTGGGTGGAAGTGCAGAGTTTGCCCGATCTTATGTGCAGAAAGTTTGTGTCCGTGTGTTACCATAACTATGAGCATGTTTATTGTTTTTGGCATGAAGGGATGATTTGCATTTGCTGCTACACGTGGCCGGAGATTTTGTATTACTTGGTTGCTAGGAGGACTTGGCATTGGCTTCCCAGGTGCCCTTCTTTGCCTTTGAAATGTAGCTGTGGTTTCAAGTGGTTTTCTTTTGTTCCAAAGCTCTATGCTTTGGTCTGAACATGTTTCGTTCCATTTTGTTACTGTTTTTTCACTTGTTTGTGTGCAAGTGTTGGGATTGTTGTGGGAGTTAATTGATCAGTTCTGGCTGTTTTGTATATCTAATTTCTGTTGGTCATAAATTTTGAAATCGAATTTGTCCTAAGGTATTTCCGATTATTTTGTAACCTGTACTATTGTAGTTACAAATAGAAACACAAGTTTTGTTAAAATAAGAATTTACAGTAATTTTCTGACTTTATTCTGGTGTACTGATTAGGCAAGGTAGCTCAAGCTATTTGAACCCATATCATAATGCCAACTTAATTGAAAATGCTACATCATCAATTTTGATTAACAACTACTGTACTTACCATAATTTGGATTAACAACTCCACCAAAATTTGTGAAAATCATACCCCCATCAATTTTATTTTTTTATTTTGCGTGTATAAGTTGCGCGAACATGGTTGCACGTAGGATAGAATTAATTATAGACATTAATCTTCTCTTGCTGCATTAATAACTTATTGTGGAGGTAATCATCGGTCAAAACTTCTGCAATGCAAGTTGCAACTCAACTGTGTTGAAAAATAGAAAAGAATCCGGCCTTGAAGTTAATTGAAATCGTCTTTATTGATACCGACAGAGACATGGCTTGCAATGCCTGCAGAGATGGAGTTACAATCTAGAACATCGCAATAACGTTAATAGAATGACTTGTTGACAGAATATTTTGGTATTATTTTCTTTGTAGAATATAGAAAAATACAACAACTAAAGCCAATCAACAACGTCATATTCTTTGTTGTTGAAATTTATCTCATCTAAGTAGAAAATACTTCTAGACCATCTGAAATTTCCAAATGGATTAAAAGCTATCCACCAGCTTTCTTTATTATTATTATTTTTTATTGTTTTTTGTGCTTATCTTAAATTTCTCCAATCATGGGTTTACATTAGTTTTCACGACTCTAAGTTACCGATGTCAACCAAGTGGCCTCGCCCACCTGTCCTAGCTCGGCGTTTTTTTGGGTCGATGTCCTAGTTGTTATCGACCGGGTCAAATGTAAACTAGCCATAACATATATATATATATATATATATAAAACTATTATTTATTTGGATTACAAGTCAGTTGGACTGGCCCGTTATATATATTTTTCATACAATTAGAAAATAAAAAATTATTTTCAAATAATATATTAGATTAACTTATATTAAATATTTAAATTAATTTATGTTTATAAATTTACTAATATAAGTCAACCTAAATTTTAAAAAGATTATGTTAGCAAAATGAACCTTCACCTTCAAGTATATTTTAAAAAAAAATTAAATTATAATTTATTAACATTATTTAAAGAAAAAGTGTGTATATGTTAGTAACATCCTATATTAAAATGTTTAAGATTACTATTTAAAATAAATTAGCATTTATCTAAAACAAACATTTAATTATAGGTTAAAAAGAAAGGCTTAACAAATTTAAAGTTGATTTAATGTTTTGGACATTGCGGAGCAGTTCAAGGGTTGGGCTAAGTCATGTCAAAATATTCTTTGTTTTTTGTTTGTTTAAAATATGTTGGCGTTACACGTTTTGTCAAGTAAAAATCGCTTTAATACGTCAGAATTAGCACATTTTCACACTAGAGGGCACGGTGACTTTTCAACATAATTCTAGACTTCTTTTACACGTAGAGGACTTACAAGATTCCTATGAAAGACTACGACTGATCATCTCTTCAAAAACTTATAGGACGCACTGAGGAAAGTAAGGCTTCTTCCTGCTCGATCCAAAATATAGATAGGGTCATCTCTTATTGCACTCCAACCCAGTCTAAATATGAAAAATATATATATAATCATGACCCGATAACATACAAGACAGAATCAATCTAATTTGTTAATAGAATATATAAATCTTAATATTATGTATAACTAAATAAAATTATTGATGAAATATAGAACTAAAAGAAATATTTTACAGTATATAATTCAAAACATTAATATAAATATTATATTATCTACTAAATCTTATTATTAATACATAAGTGCTTTAAAAAGTTAAAATTTTAAAACAATAAAAGAAATTGGATCGAGGTAAGATAGCTCAAATTATAACTTAAACTAATTCTCAAAGTAAAATAGGTCTAATTTTTTAAATCTGAATCCGTCAAAATTAACCTGGAGTCAGGCTGAGTCAGTAGGATGAGTCTAGTCATAAATACCCCCATAGGAAAGCCAGTATAATATAACTTGCATGCTCAGTTACAATATCATAACCAGAACTTAGTTTATGTGCCAAGAATCTTTCATTTATTTGCCTAGATACCAGTAGTATGATTTCGCATACAAAATAACTCATACATTTTGATGCAGGTGACAAGGCATTATCAGTAGTCCAATGTCGTGGCAATTTAAGATGGGCAATATGTTCACACGACATAAATCAGCACAAACCGCTTGAAGGATATTGCTAAGTGTTTATAATGGTACCTGGACTACAACAGAGAAGATTTCCCACCAACAGTCCAGAGGATCAGGTATTCAGGGTCAAAGGATGTCTGAGCTTTATGTCGATGTGAGACGGAGATGCAGCTCGCATGTGAGATTTGTAGTAAATTCAAATTACTGGCTACTAAAATTCTCTTCAAAGAGAATTTAAACATTCTCTGTTCCTGGAATTTCAGCAGTCATAGCTAAGAAGGAATACCCACCAGAAATATACGGTCAAGAAGTGTGTATGAATTATGTAACATCCGGAATTGCCAATATGCTGAAGACAAAATTCATAAACTTCAGACAATAATCAGAAGTTCAAAATAAACAACTGCTTAATTTTTTTCAACCAACTCAGTTTCAATAAGATGCTATCAATAACATAAATTCTTTCCCGGGCAACAATGCCTTTCTAATCTCAAGACATTCAATCAATCATTTGAAGATAATTAGAAAAACAAAAAAATATATCAACAATCTATATCAATTTCCTAAACTTTCTTCCTTTCATTCAACTTAATTGAAGGAACATGTGACAATATAACGATATATTATCCCTACTTATGAATTCGTTAAGGCTTGAGCAACAGTGAGAAACCAAACTTGGGACTCCTATCCAAATCCCTTGTTTCAAAGGCACCAGACATAGTAAAAATTGACTTATGCATAAGCTCATGTTGCAACAAGGCCCCGAGATTGCCATGGTTGTTCAGCTTTGCCTTTACAACAGTCTGAGGATCAACTACATATGAACATCCAACTGTGAGTGTGTTTTCATTAGTAGAGAACCTTCTGCTAATCTCTCCCACAACAGCTCCCCCATTCAAACGGTCTGGCTGGTGCAAATATGACACCTTCATGGAGTCTCCCTTGTCAGCTCTGCAAAAATGAAAATTAGACAATTAAATAACAAAACACTAATTTGCCAACATTTACGTTGGTTGCACATTAATTTATGCCCTCAAATTGTGGGTTGCGTGTCTCAGCACAACCAATACAAGTAGTAGTTATTCATTCACTATTTCAGAGCAGCAATATCTCAAAACACCTTCAGGCAAAAAATCTAAAATTGTTATGGAAAGAACATCCCAGTTTCATTCCAAAACAATCAATATATCTATGAAACTCGGTTTGGCAAAGATACATTCCACGCACTAATTTAACATATGATAGTTAAAATACCTCAAATACTTACAAAATTACAGAAGCATTGGAATTTGGCATTTTCAAGCACAAGCCAGCATTGTATTTCGTAAACTTGCCAATACTCGCGGAGAAGCTGGTTTCTGCTCCAAAGGCAAAACTGGGAGTACCCATGGTGGCAGAAAAATCAATAGCAGGCGAACGGTTTAAACCAACAGCAGCAGTAAACGCCACATGATCATGAAGATACTGCACCTCAATCTACATCAAAACATATATAATAACAATAACTATTATAAGTATAAAACGACCAGTCAATCTTATATCCCCAAACAATCTCCACACCTTGCCAGGGTCGAAATCAGGTAGACGTATAATGGCTTTCGTGGAAGGCACAATATCAGATATAGTGAATGTTGTCAAAACCTGAATAGCAGAAATTAGTTACTGCCAGGCTAAGCAAATAAGAAAATATTATACATCAAAATTTATGAAATGTAATATTACATTTGATTCAGTATCAACTTTGACATTAACCGTCTTGTTCTTATACTTAAATTCCGCGCACACATCTCCACAGGAAAGTCCTCTACTCTTCAACAATGTTGAGTTCAATTCCTGAAATTGTAATAGGTAACAACTCACAATCACTACTTAATAAATAATAAATTTCAACTTACAGTATGAGAAAAATGAAAAAAAAAAAAAAAAATTGTCAAATTAACACTGGCATCTCTTCTTTGAAGTTGCAAATTGCGAATCGCGAAATTAGAATTATAGAGAATTAAAATCGGCACGAAATAAGCATGGAGCGGATAATAATAAAGGTGAGAGAGAAAGAGAACGCACGAGACAAGAGTTGGAGGAGGAGGAGATGGTGAATCTTTGATCGGAGTTGTAATCTTTGGTGAGGATCTCTGCAGTAACGGAATCGAAAATTAGATTCGAAAGAGTAAGAAGCAAAAAGAGAGAGAATGAGTTAACAGTTACCTCTGGTTCTCTTGGCGATATCAGAGAAGAGACCAGGTCCTTTGCCTGACATTTTGCGCTTCTGCACAAAAACGCCAACGACGCTAAGGGTTTATGTAAACCCTTCTCCATCGACCAAACATGAACCCTAAAACATAAAAATTTATGCAGCTATTGCTCTCGTTGAGAGTCGAACTCAAGACCTCCCGCTTACTAAACGGGTGCTCTAACCAACTGAGCTACGAGAGCACGTCGTTATATTTTTTCGAATACTATCTATAACCATATTAGATGCAAATTGTTTCAGTTTTTCCAAGTTTGTTAATGCTGTTCAGAAAGGAAAGGGGTTGATGATTTATGGTTGGTAATGAGCCAAGGAGGCTTAGATTATAATGTTTGAAGAAAGGTTAAGAAAACATGGTTAACTTTTTTATATATATAAAATCAAAATTAGTTATTTTGGTAAGAACTGTTTTGAGACAGATAGAAATAAATGAAGTTTATAGAAATATTATGTTTGAATTATATTATTTCTTATAGCACAGTTTATTTCTAAAAATAATAAGTCTGATTAAAAACAAGAAAAATGTATTTTTTGTGTTTGGATAACATTTTTAGATCATTAGTTAAAAACCTGCTTTTGAGAAACAAAATTCTAACATACACATTTATTTCACCAACTTAATTTTAACAAAATTAATTTTTCAAATCAGGATTATTCAAAGTTAAGCTTACAAACTTTAATTAAATTTTAAATATTAAATTATACTTTAGTTACAAAATTTAATACCCGCAAAATTGAAAAACAAATAAGCACTACAATTTATATTTCAACTTCATTTTAACCACTGAAAATCAAATTGTAGCGGTATCCTAACAAGTTATTAGTTGTGGGCACCGATTCTAGTACTGATTAAAAAGTTATAAAAGCAAAACTAAGTGACTACATGGTTTATAAATAAAATCAATTGTATAAATTGTAACACATAATTTCATAAAATTTATAAATAAAAGTAATTTAATAAATATTTAATTTCTTTAACATTTTATAATCAACTTTACCAATATCTAAAATAAATACACGCTTAATTATTATTTGGTTAGGAGAAATTGGAGGATAGAAATTTTTTTTTATTCTGTTTATATTTTGTTCAAATATTTTGAGGGAAGGGGAGAGGGACAAAGGAGAGCAATGTGCATGTTAAAAATGTGTGTTTAAATTTTTTTAATTAAAAATATTAAAATATCTCACCGTAAAATTAATTAATTATTTAAATAAGAAGATGATTATTTTTCCTTTCTTCCCTTCAATAATTTTTTTACACTCCTCTCTTCTGAACCAAACACTCTGTTAGTGTTGAAAAAAACATTCTTAACTTTTCAAGAAAAAAAATATAAACATTACAATATATATATATATATATATATATATATATATAAATAATTAAGATTAAATTTTTAATATCACCAGGATCAAGAGAAGACACAAAAAGACAAATCTCGAAAAGGCTATTGCACAACAATCTCTCCTTTAATGAATGTTCCTATCAACAAGTGACCTTTACGACCAAGTGTATTAGGAAAAAGAGAAACCTTAAAGAAAATAGGAATGGTAATTAAGCGGCATTGCTCAAAGATCACATAATGTCTAGAGAACTAAACGTCATAAGCATATTATAGCAATCATTTCAAGTTTGTTGGAAGTATTTTGGGTACAAATACTTCTTGATTGATATTTGAAAATTGTTTTCCTTTTCACTTTAACTATCGAATTAATGTATCTTTTTGCAGGTGGGATATATAGTATGCGAATAAATTAGAATACAAAAATAAAATAAAATTAAATACAATATTATATATTTTTATATTTTTTAATTAAGAATAATTTTTTATTTCAATACATAGTATTGAAATAAAACTTCAACTTAATACCAACAATGCCTATAACATTACATTTAAATTTTGTCTAAATATAAATATCATGTTGATAATTTCTTGTTAGCCTGTGTGTTTATGTCCCACAGTTTTTATTTAAAATGAGGCATACATTTTATTAGTCTTGAAAACCAATTAAACTAAGCCGGTCGTTGAATATCCTAGACATAAGAAAAGGCTTACCTTCTAAAGTTTGCGTGAGGTTAATATTCTTATTCTAAAAACATACATTTCCTCGTACGTTTAGTTGACCATCAAACTAAACAAATGATATTAAAATTAAATGGCAAACTTTATTAATTTAGTAACAAATATAAGAATTTTGAACTTTCTTATATTTATTTTATCATAGGGTGGATATGATTTAGATTTCTATAAAATCAATTTAAATTCAATTGTATAGATTAAATTTTAAAATAATTTATTTTTTTAAAATTAAAATTTAAAATTTTGATTTGATTTGATTTAAAATCAAATTTAAATATAGTAAAATATATTATAAATATTTTTATACTATTATAATTGCATACATTTTAATCAGTTAATAATATATTTTTATAATTATATTATATTAAATTAATTACATTTGTATATATTCTACTTTGTATCATTAATCTACCACATAAACCAATTATAGAAATTAACTTTTAAATTAATATGTGTATTTTTTAACATCTATTTAAAATTAGTTTTAGAAATTTAATTTAATTTAAGATTAATTTTTATTTTGTTTGATTCAGATTTAAATCAAATATTTTACGTTAAGTTAATTTTAAATTTAATTCTATATTAAATTAATTTTAAATTCAATTTTAATTTTAATTTTTAGTGTAAAAATGATTTTTTATATATTTATAAATTTATTTTTAGAATAAAATTCATTTATTGTAATGCACCATTCTTTTAAATTAATATGTTTTAAAAATATTTTAGTTATTTTTTTAATTATATTATATTTTATAAAAAAATTTGTAAAATATTTATTATTCTTTAATTTTTTAATAAATTAAATTGATGATGATAATTTAAACTAAAATCTGTAAATTTAAATATTAACAATATTAAAAATATTATATTATAATATTTTTAAAAAAATTTAAAATATATATAAATATAATAATTATTATGAACTTAAAAATATTTATTATATTTAATATAATAATTATATTTTAAAAATGTTACTTGAAATATTTAATCTTAATTATAAGAAGTAAGATTAATAAAAAAAATATTAGTCATAAAACAAATTTATAAAAAAAAATTATGAACTGATATAGAATAGAAGTCTGATAAATTAAGACATGAAATATCTCCATGCATAATATAAATTTTGATAAATATAATAAATTTAATTTTAAAAAAGTTAATTTAAAACACTAAATAGATTACATAAATACAGTGAATGAAAAAATTTAGTTATTTTTACTAGTTTAACATTAATTATAAACAGAACTTATGTTTATTTAATTTCCTTTTTATATTTAATTTTTTGTTATTTTATTTACATTTAAAAAAATTATCCTCTTTTTATTTCTCTTTTATATTACGTAAGTGAAAGTGAAAAAAGATAAACATAACCTTAATTATAATTTATATGTCCATTCCTCGATCACCTCTCTCTCTTTGTGTTTCTATTAATCCTTTATAACTTATATATTAAAAAAAATTAAATATAAACACACAATGACTTCAATTATGCTCTTTTTCTTCTCTTTTTATTGAAGGCCATGACAAAAATCTTATGGTATGGGTAAACACCCATAGCCATCTAATGGAAACGATTAATAAAAATAATAATTAAAGAAGTTACAAAAAAAATAGAATTAGAAACTTAATTAAGCACATTTAGTTTATTAAAGTTAGTTACCTGTACAGGGAAGTTAACCAATGTGCAAATCACTTTTCTTTATCTTAATGCCTAGGTGTTTGGACTCTCGAGTTAAAATTATGATCGTTGTGTTTGTCTAGGATATTTTTAGCCCGATGAATAGAAATAAAAAAATTGTCTCAAAATAAAAGAATTTAAACGTAGGTAACACGTTTTTTGAAAAATAAAAAAAAAGTTTTTTTTGAAATTGTTTATTTAGAAATATTGTGTAATTGTTAAAGTATAAAAATTCCTTATCAGTGAATTGACAATCAATTAAAATGTACATAAGATTATTATGAGTTTAAATCGTTTAAAGTATTTTAGATTAAAAAAATCTCTCAAATTAAAAGTTACTGTTATCTTCCTAATCTTAAATTTTATATTTAAAATATTAATATAATATTAGAAATAGATTAAAAAAGACTAAAAAATTATATAAAAAAAAGTCATACCAAAATAAAAAAAAACAACTTTATGACATTAAAAAATAAATAAAATACAAGTCACGACTAAACTTAAATTAATAAAAATATTACAAGTCTAAATAGTCTAAAATATTTTAGAAAAAAAATATCTATTTTAAAATATTACCTTCTTTCTAATCTTAAATAAGTTTATATTCAAATTTTTAAATTAAGTAAATTTATCAAGCAATTTATAGATCTTTATAGTAAATTAAGTATTTAAAATTTGAACTAAGGAGTAAAGTGTAATTTGCACATAAAGTAGTCAAATAATTCAACTTACTTTTGAAGTGAGCGGGAAAAATATTAGAATATTGAACTGACTCAATGAATTGACGCGTTAAATTTAAAAATTCTAAAAAGATATATAAAAACAAATACAGTAATATTGAAATAGATATTAAAAAAATAAAATATCAAAATAGACATTAGCAAAAAATAACCAAAATAGACTAGTTTAATTTATATAAATATCTTTGTTTTTAGAATTATTAAGTTAACCATCTGAAATCTTAAATTAATGAAAAATAATAAAATAAACAAATAAATATGAAACGATCGGACGCATGACGGTTCATGACAGTTGATTTATAATATTGATAAATAGGGTGAGTTGAAAAAATAAATAAAAAACTTTATGGATCAACTTTTTTATAGTCTAACTTCTTCAAAACCCACCAACTATATTGATTTACAAATTACAATCCATTTTGATAGATTTAGCTGTACATGAATTTTTTTTACTAATTAAAAAATGTTAATGACATTCCCTTTTAATCCATCATTTAGTATTAACTACAATTTCTTCTTATTATTATTTATCAATATCATTACGATAATAAGTTTTATATTAGTATTTAGTAATAATAATAATTTTCATTATAATTTATGATAACATGTTTTATTTATTGATTCTTTAGTTATTGTCTGAAGATAATGGATCAAGAAACTGTATAATTAAATGGGTTTTATTATATTTTTATACATTTTTAATAAATTAAATCTGATATTAAAAAATATATATTTAAAAAACACTATACTATTAGAGTATATTATTAAGTTTCCTATTTATTGATAACAATGTATGAGCTACTAACGAAAGGACTTCACCAACAATAATTATATGGTGGACATATTTATTGAGATTGTTCAATATCAATTAATTAAACTCTATTAATACGAAGCTCCCTTTAATATTTAAAAAGAAAAAACGGATGTTTGCTGACATAACACTTTTTTCTCTTTTCCCTTTCCATCTTTCATTTTCAATTCTCATTTTTCGCATTTAATCTGCGACAATAATCATTTTATTGGCTTTATCTTTTCCTACCATACCAATAAATTTTATTTTATTGGACAACTGACTACTCGGCCATCTCCATTTATTTTGTTTCCCCACTGAATTGAAGTATATAATTTTAATGCACTGAATAAAAAATTTCACACCGTAGGATTAAGTGATCTAAAATTTATCATGATAAATAAATGAATTAAATTTAAACTTGACAAAGAAAAGTATGCAGAGCATAATATATAATTTATTTTATTTGTATCAATATGAAAAGCAACACTCTTCACGGAATAACGATGTTCGTACGCACGCGTTTAAAGACACAGTCCTCGCACGTGCTTGCGGGATTGGAATTTGGTAAAATCAATATTAATAAGACGTGTCATCCCCAGAGCCCAAGGTTCAGATACACATGTAAAAATGTTATCCCACTCTTCCCTTCTCCCATATATTTCGCTTTTCGCAACTCCCTAGCAGCCTCCCCTTCCCTTCGGCTCCTCTACAGAACCCGCCCGAACCCGAACCCGAACCCAAACCCGAACCCAAACCCGAACCCGAACCCGAACCTCCGCGTCGGAACCTAAACCCTGATGGGAACGGAGAGTTACACGTACATGGGACGCAGTTTGAGCGAACTCAGCATCAACGATGATTCCTCTTCTTCCGCTTTCAGCGACTGCAACAGTGACAGATCTGGCGAATTCGCCACCGCTTCTTCACAAACACGACGACTCCTCATCGCTTGCGCTTCTGAAAATTCCGACGATTTCATCCGTCAACTCGTCGCCGATCTCCACTCCTCCTCCGTCGACGATCAGAAACAAGCCGCTATGGAAATTCGATTACTCGCCAAGAACAAGCCAGAAAATCGCATCAAAATCGCCAAGGCCGGGGCAATTAAACCCCTAATCTCACTCATTTCATCGCAAGACCTTCAGCTTCAGGAATATGGCGTCACCGCGATTTTGAATCTCTCCTTATGCGACGAGAACAAAGAGCTGATAGCCTCTTCCGGCGCGATTAAGCCTCTGGTTCGGGCGCTCAACACCGGAACTTCGACGGCGAAGGAAAACGCGGCGTGCTCGTTGCTCCGCCTCTCGCAGGTGGAGGAGAACAAGGCGGCGATCGGCAGGTACGGCGCAATTCCGTTGCTGGTGAACCTTCTAGAAAGCGGCGGCATCCGCGGGAAGAAGGACGCGTCGACGGCTCTGTATTCGTTGTGTACGGTGAAGGAGAACAAGATGAGAGCGGTGAAGGCGGGGATCATGAAGGTGCTGGTGGAGTTAATGGCGGATTTCGACTCGAACATGGTGGACAAGTCTGCGTACGTGGTGAGCGTGTTGGTGACTGTGCCGGAGGCGCGTGCGGCTCTGGTGGATGAAGGAGGGGTTCCGGTGCTGGTGGAGATCGTGGAGGTTGGAACGCAGAGACAAAAGGAAATCGCGGTGGTTATTCTGTTACAGATATGCGAGGAAAACGTGACGTATCGCACTATGGTGGCTCGCGAAGGTGCGATTCCTCCTTTGGTCGCTTTGTCTCAATCCGGCACCAATCGCGCCAAGCAAAAGGTAATACTACGTGTTTGGAAATCTTAAAAAAAAAAAAAAAAACTATAAACGTGATTTAACCTCAAAATTATAACTAGTATTGTAAAAATAAACGTCAATTTATGATTATTTAAATTTGGATTCAAACAAGCCCGTATGCCATTCCATTCACTTCCACTACTCTCGGCGCTCGCTGACGTGGCACGGTGCTCTTCGCTTCGGACTATGGAATTGGAAGATCTCGTGGGTGTAGTGCCACGTCAGCTCCTTGCACGCTCCACCTCCACTGACCCACCGCAACATTTGCTTAGTCTATAATTAAATTTGATTTAGTGAATGTGTTCTCATTTCGTCAATATGCCAATCTTATTGGTTGGGTTTGGCAATATTTTAACTTTTAGTGTCCCCATGTTTGGACAAACAATAATTAAAATTTATGAAATATTTTTTGCTGTTGAATTTGGGTTATTCATTTTGGTTTTGATGTGTGCAGGCGGAGAAACTAATTGAGCTTCTGCGGCAACCAAGATCCGGCAACGGCGCTGGTCGGTCGTCAGAAGTGGTGGCATGAACGAGAGCAATTATTTATCATTTGGTGCCCCACACCACCGTGCGCGTGAGTGTAACAACCCCACGTTTCAAACAGTGAATTTGGTTAAAGACAACGTGCGTCCTCCAAGAGAGACACAGAGAGCTCAACTTTGTAAATATCTTCGTAACGGAGAAGCTTTGTAAAGTTTGTGGTACAAATGATAAGAGTTTGAGTTTGGTTTGCTTTTTGGGCTTTGCAAAATAACGCACTCCTACTCAATACCCCGGGTTTTCTTTTCGTTTCTTTTTAATTTTATCTTACTGAACTGTGAATGTGGGGAGTGATGATATTATCTCTTTTGGGCCCTTCTGCTATTGATGATATTATTGCCATTATAAATGTGGTACGAGTTTACTTGGTTTTAAAATTAGAAGATTAGCAGGACAAGAAAACATAGTTCTGAAAAAAGTAGTGCTTCTAGGCTTCTAGAGAAAAGGAACCGAGTCTTTTGTTTATTTTCTTATACTTGGAGTAGGTGAGATGAGAGGTAGCATAAAAATGGAGAATAAGTAAAATAAAAATGTCATGATAATTGCAAAGTGCGTAAAATACAACTGCAGAAGATATCCCTGGAATATGGGCGAATGGCAGGAGATTTTGTTTTTCGGCTGATATTTATTTTGAATTGAAATAAAATAAAGGATAGTTTGCATTAAAAATTAAACATAAATAGAAAAAGTAGAGAGAAAAATGATGGTTTGAATAGAAGGTATCCACATGGTTGGCGTGGAAGAAAGCAACAAAAATTGAAAAGGAAAGTGGGTTAGGAGTTAGGACTTTAGGAGGGGGGGTGTCGTAAGCGGCTTTGTTTTGTATGGTTATTATTAATTTATTATATAATGTTTTCTTTTGATTTTGTTTCTTTTTTCCTTTTTCTGCATAAAAAGCCATAAAGTAAAGAAGCATGGAATTAACACGTGTACTGCATTCCGTTAAAGATTAGCGGTTAGTCGTTCAGTCGCATCATGGATTAGGATGGTTGGCTGGGACTGTGGGTCCCTCGTTGACGGCCTATTGACTCTTTATTTTATTTATTTACATCTCTTCTCAGTTCTCACCGTAAGCTTTTGTAAATTGTAATGTTTTGTACAGGAAAAGAAGAGAGACTTAATTAAAGGGCGGTGAGAAATAAATAACTTTTTTCTTACTCTGTTGAAAAAAGTGAGGAGAGAGGAACATTTAATGATTTATTCTACTAAATTTGTCACTACAAAGAGGCGTGAAAGTGAGATGAACGAAGAAGGATTGCCGTGTTTTACTTCATTGTTTTTCAAGTTCTTAAAAAATAAAATGCATTTTTATAATATTAAAATAATTTTAAAATTAATAAATTAATTTTTTCAAAATTTTAAATTAAATGAAAATTTTAATTTATGATAACAAAAGTTATACATTTTTTTTGTACGTTACTCTTTTACTTTCTCAAAATTTCTTTTTTTTACTATTTTTATCCAACCAAATAACATAACGTTTTTTTAATAAGTTTAGTCTTTTTTACTACTCTCTTAATTTTTCATGTTTTGTTGTTTAAATTTGTTGCATGTAAATAAATAATAATATAATTATACAGAAGTAAGAAAATTTTGATAAAATACTCCATTTAAAGTTAAAAGAGAGAAAGAAAAGTAAATACATATATGAGGTGATTAGTTTAATTAAAATTCATCCATAAACGTATACGTAAAAAATAAAATTAATTAAAAATTTTAAATAACAAAACTTTTGAAGCAAAATTACATTTTAAAACAACAAAATATAAAAAATAAAGTGAGTATAATAAATATTTTTATTCTTTGGAACCTAAAAGTCCCTAACTTGGTATTAAAAATAAAATTTAAGAGTAACACTGAATAATACTTAGATGATGTTAAACAATAAATAATATTTGAAAAGCTAATTACATCCATTTTAATCTTAAATATTAATCAATGTTAGGTGAACTTTTATAAACAAAATTTGGAAGCATATAAATTACAAAGTTGAACTTAAAATTATTTAAACATATAATAAGGTCAAAAGTTTTTAAAAAGATTTTTTTCATTGAAATAGAGTATTTAACTAGATTTAGTTCTATTAAAGTAACAAGAATTAGTATCAACTAAAATTGAAGGGTTGACAATTTCACTAATTATATTCTAACCACATAAAATAGTAATGAAAGTCAAGTCAAGTGACTATATATAAAGTTCTTAGAGCTTATCTTTCTCTTTTTCCTAAAAATACAAGAAAAAAAAATTAATTATGAATGATCCTAAAAAATACATCAATTACACAACAAAATTATTTGTATCTTTTTTCCTGAATCTACATCTCTATAGTCATGGCTTGAAAACTTTTACAGAAACTAATATTTTTGTCAGTATATAAGGTTTTATATGTCAACATGATAATGTCAAGAGTTTAAGGAAAGCTACTGATGAGCAATTTACTACATTTGCTAAATTCATTATCAATACTCTTATAATGTGATTTACATTATGAAACTCACAAGGGATTAGAAGAGTGTCTGATCACATCATGCACAAAAAAAATATAGTGGCTCAACTAAAAACTTCGAAGGTTATCATGTCTAATTCTTTTGTGGTACACTATATTTTGTACACATTGTCTCATTAATATGTCTCTTTTAAGATCACTTATTAACACACATAAAGATAAATGGTCTATTAAACAATTATTGACCATATATGTTCAAGAAGAGGAAATGTTACAAATGAAATAAGGAGAGAATGTGAACTTGACTACTTTTGGAAAAAATAAGAAGAATTATGTTAATCACAATAAAAAGAGTCATACTCAGTCATATATAAAAATGGAGTCAAAACGTTTATTTTATAAAAAAAAATGACACATGAAGAATGATTGCCTAAAATTTAAAAATTGACTTGATCAAAAAGGTACTTCAATTGTTTTTGTTTGTTACTAAATCTAATATAGTTAGTATTAATTATAACACATGGTCAATTGATTCTAATTCTACAATCATAACACATTGTTATTTTTTAAAAAGATCACTATGAAGCTCAACCTTCTAAATCAAATAAAAAACTATAGGCATTCATGCCTCTCTAGTTTAAGAACGTGTTAGACAATTAGTTATTCAAATTTCCCAAGTTGTTGAAGATGATAATATAAATCGAGTTGTTGACGATGAGCAACAAGTAAATATTAGCAACCTATAGAGCAATTAGTTGAATAACAAGATTCTCATCATAATAATGAGGCAACAATTCCTAGTGATTATGTAGTGTATCTACAAGAATTAGACTATAACATTGGAGCTGAAAATGATTTCAAAACGTTTTCATAAGTTATGAGTTCAAAGAAATTAAATTTACGTTACAATGTCATGAAAGATAAGATGAATTCCATGGCGTCTAAAAGAGTTTGAAGTCTCATTGAGTTGCCTAATGGTGTAAAAGCTATTGGATATAAATGAGTCTTTAAAACAAAGAAATATGCACAAGGCAACATTAAGAGATATAAGACAAGACTTGTTATTAAAGGGTTCAGTCAAATAAAAGAAATCCATTACAATGACTTTTTCTCTCATGTCTAAAAGAATTCTCTTTGAGTAATTATAATATTAGTAGCTCATTTTGACCTTACGTTGCATCAAATAGATGTGAAAATAACATTCATCATTGGTGATCTAGAAGAAGTTTACATAAAACAACTTGAAGGATTCTTCTCTAATGACAGTGAGTATTTAATCTGTAAGCTTAATAAATCCATATATAGATGAAAACAAACTTCCTAACAATGTTATTTAAAATTCATAAAGTTATTTCTTCATTTGATTTTGAAGAAAACATCATGAATTAATGTATATACCTGAATGTTATAGGAGATAAAATTTGTGTTCTTATTTTATATGTGGATATATTTTACTTGTGACTAATAATAAATGTATTCTATATGAGGTGAAACAGTTTCTCTCAAAGTTTGATATGAAGAATATGAGTGAGGCATCTTATGTCATAGGCATTAAGTTTTATAGAAAAATATCTCGAAGTATTTGGAGTTTTTCTTAAGAGATCTATATCAAAAATGTTTTAGAGATGTTTAATATGAAATATTATTCACCAAGTATAACTTTCATTGTGAAAGTTGATAGGCTTGAATTGAGTTAGTGCTCGAAAAATCACTTTAAGTGGAAACACAGAAAAAAAAAAATACTCCATATGCTTAGTTGTTGGAAGTCTTCCGTATGCTTAAGTTTACATTAAACTTGACATTGCATTTGTAGTTAAAGTTTTGAGAAGAAATCATATTAATATAGGTGTTTATTGCTGGAAAGCTACAAATAAGGTAATGAGAGATTTTCAAGGAACATATGATTAAATGTTTATGTACAGACAGACTAATAATTTGGAAGTGATAGACTATTCTGATTCGAACTTCGTTAGGTACATTGATACCAGGAAACCTATATAAAATTACATTTTTATGCTAACTTGTGGAACTATATCTTAGAATAGTACGAAGTAAACTTTGATTGCCACTTTCATTATAGAGCTTGAGTTCATTTCTTATTTTGAGGTTACCTTATATAGTGTATCATTGAAGAGTTTTATATCTAAACTTAAATTTTTGAATTCTATTTTTATATTGTTAAAGTTATACTGTGATAATTCTGTTATGGCTAATAATAAAAAGAGTATAAGTTAAAGTAGAATTTTAGTGTTTTTTTTTGTGAGATTATATTTTGTTTGTGAAAAGACATCTTATGTTCAAAAAATAAAATCATAATAAACACATAAAGTTGACAACAAAAAGTAATAATGGGTCAAATTTGTTGATTTAGTTGAATGAAAGTTAATATGTTAAAAAAAAATATTCTATATTACAAAATTAATAGATATAGAAAAGTAACTTGTAAATGCAATAAAAATTCATAAATGTGTGTAAATTTAACTTTTGATTCATCTTAATTTAATAGAATTTATTTTTAAATTAAAATAACTATTGTTTCTAAATTTCTATCTAAAAAAGAAATTTGTGATAGAACTTAATATGAAATTTTAAATTCAATATAATAATAACTACTAAATTAAAATAAAAATAGAATGATTAAAAAGTACTTAATTTTAATTTTATTAATTTATTATTTTAAACCAATAAATACACAAAATTAACTACACTATAACATTAATGTAACATATAAAAAATATTACCTATACAATAAATTAAAATATATACACATATATTATATATAAATTAATAAATAAACTAATAATTTAATTTTTAATTCAGACTTTAATTTGTTGAATTGTGTAAATATTTACTAATTATTGAATTTCAATCTTATAATAGTTTTTTAGATTTGTACAAATTTTGCTAACAAATAATATAGGCAAAATTACTCTTTTCATTCCTTAATTTTAAAATAAAATTCATTTTTGTCATCTAACTTTTTTTTAGTTTATTTTTATCCTTAAACTTTTTTTTTTCTACATTGATCTTTTCTGTTAACTTTGTTACATGA